TTTCTAGAAGCCCAGGAACCGAGCGGCGCAAGCAGCGAGAGTGAGAAATCTTCGTCGCTCGGCGCCGGCACTCGTAGCTTCTCGTCGTCGCTCGTCTCGTTGATCGCTACATTGCTTACATGCTGTTCAGAAAGGTGCTCTAAGTGGTTACCATTGCATTGGGACCAGCCTCGCATCCAACCGTAACCAGTCTTGACTTTTTTTTTAAGCCGCCCAGGTAGAAGTTAACATCGTACATACATACATCGTTTTCAAGCATGGCTCCTCGTTCATTGCTCGATTTACTTTTTCGTAAATGACAAACCGCAATGAAGCACAATTATTCTAGTTCAAAATTGTCACGAACACTTGGCACGCATGCTTACACTGTAGCGCACCTAACGTAATTTAAAAGTAGAACGAAAACGGGACGAGATTCGCTTACCGCTTCACGGAAACAGTCCTTCGGATCCTAGGCCTAACGGCCGAAATCGGAAGTCGCCTGCGGTCCGGCGATCGGACGAGTTGAGCCGGCCGCGCTGTGCTGACCCCGGCTGACCACGCCTGGTTGAACCATGAGAGGCGTCGTCGAGTTGAGAGCCAGAGACGCAGTAGAAACGGACCGTAAAACATCTGTCCCGTAAAACGCAGAAGGAGCCAGCGCCAAAACCGCTACGTCTGGCTGCGTCGCCATCTCCACGACGACCGGAAGCGTGTAAACCGGGACTGGCCGGGAAGTTAGAAAAGGCGCGGCAGCGGAGGCCACTGGGCGGAAGCTTTACGTTTCGGTTTCGCTTTTCTCCGACATCGGCCACGGTCGCGGGCTGGTATGTTTGCGGTTGGTTGCGACGACGCGAGGGGCCACGAAAAGACGCCGAGTTGGCCGAGTACGAGTCACGGCCCACGATACGAGCAACGGGCCATTTGCCCCTGTCGACCGGCGATGCGGTATCCGCGGCTTAGTGTCACGATCGGTTTGTTGCCGTGCACGTTGACTCAAAGCTCGAAGTTATGCAGTTCCGTCAGTTCCGTTCCGGCACCAGCCGCACCACGTTTTCCGGTGCATCGCACGTGGAGGCCTTTCGACGCATTCAGTGAACGTAAAGATCGCGCCCGCTGTCTTCGGTGCTGTGGAAGAAGTTGGGAGACGGAAGAAGCATCAAAACCAAGGCGTTTAGGACTCCAGTCCGGGCCGCCGGTCCACTCTGAACGAGAGGCGACGTGTGTGTGCACGCTTTGAGGAAGCCTCCACGTTTCGCCGCGCCAGACCTCGCCGATCGCGACCAGACCCCGAGTCCGAGAGGCTCTTGCGCAGCCAGGAACGGCAGCGAGGTAGGAGCTGCTCGTTCTGCGCAACCATGCAGTGCTCTACAGTGATCGGAGCTCTCGGTGTCATGCGTGCTTGCACCGAAGCCTTTGTGACCCCTTCGGACGCGCAAGTCGTACTTCGCAAAGGTTTGGACGGGGCCGCCCTCACCGAGCAGCTCCGCTAAATTCCGCTTACTTATGATCGCAATAAAAGCTTGCGTTTGTTCTCGGGAAAAAAATTGCGGGACCGCTCTCCGCGCCGCCGACGAGGTTGGCCGCCACCATGTTCTCAGCTGTTCACTCGCTCCCGCAGCGAGCGCCTTCCGATAATCCTCCCCGTTCCAAAATGCGATGCGATCTTCGTTTACATGGGCTGAATGAATGCGCACTCGCCATCTCGATCCACCTCTGTCTAGCGACTTTAATGCGATGCGCTTTGCGCATTATGCCGTTTACATGACCGCATATTGAATGCGGCAACTGGATTCAATGCGACTAAGTCGCATTCATGTAAACGCGGCTTATGTTATTTTTCGACATGTATGATGTATGTAACGATACCGGTGGTAAACGATGGACGTTTTTGTTGGAAGATGGCGGTCGTCTTTCTGCATGTATGGTTTAGTTATACCGGTGGTCTTGTGGTATAGGCGTTTCGTTGGAAAGATGGCGGTCGCCTACGTCATCGGACGCAAAATCATACCAGCCATACCGAGTCATATCGGCGAGCAAACCGGCTGCCAGTATAGACAGACCCGGAGCCATAGCGGTGCCGGTATCTCCAGTTATGGAGAACGCAAAACCAAACTAGCTGCATGTATAATAACAATAAATTATGGTGGTGTCATACCAGGACTGTACAAGCAGCAGGTTTGTTTCTTGTACGTTTTTCCAATAGGGTAGGATAGATGGCGCCACTAAAACTCCGTATAATAAAAGTTTTGTCGATGATACCAGATTTTTGACGCATTTATATATATGTTGGAACGACAAGATTTATAGAAAAGTTACCTTCTATCGAGCAGGTATTCACACAACTTGCTATCTTTGGTGAACAATACCAAAAGCAGAAGATACCAATTCTTTCAACGTTAAAATCGTTGCACAGCTCCTTTAAGAACGTGTAACCGATAACCGAAAGCGCAAAAAATAAAAATAAAAAACCGAAACGAAACCGGTATCACCAGGAAGCGGTAACCGTAACCGTAACCTTAACCGTAACCGAAGCCGAAACGTTATATTTTTCGGTTCGAACCCCTGGTTTGAGGCTCTGCTTCCACTCCTTTAAGTCTAGGCTCTCTAGCGAGCGCCGACGATAGTGGCGCCGCCGCACAAAACCGATCCCACGCGCACGGTGGTCTCTGAACTTTTGACGAAGACTGCATCATGCATTACCTACTGAGAGTATGCAATATAGTTCAAACGTATCACAGTACTGCACACTCACTGTGCTACAATCTCATTTTTAAAATGTAATTTCACAAAGATAATAAATTATTTAAAAAAAATATACATATATATTCGATATTTTTGTCATTTGGAGTTTACTTACCGTGGAGGAGCTAGTATTTAGAAATCTCTGACCGAAGGAAAGCCGGATAGGTTTGGCGCAAAAAGGGCGGAAGAACATGTCTGAAGAGATGAACCGAAAGAATCTGGTTTTGTTTTCAGGTTTATCCGGAAAAAAAGGCGGGTGGGGGGTTCACCCGTATAGACCAACACGCGGCCCTGACGTCACGCAGCTGCGGTGGCGCTGTCGACGGCACTGCACATGCGCAGACGCTTCCCTTCACGCGAATTCGGTTTCTGCGCACGCGCAGTGCCCACACCTGGTGTGGGCAAACGCTGGCTTGTTTGTAAACAGCGTGTCGGTCTATAGGGTGATGTGCCCAGCAATGACTGTAGCTATACCGTAAGCCATTTTGCGCATATCTTTTTTTTTATTACCTAGGTGGTGCTCTTTGGCCGAAAAATTCACAGAAGCGAGTTGGGGTGAAATCTGGGCTGGGTTGATACGTCCCCTTCCCCCCCCCCTCCCCCCTTTTTTTTTTCTTTTTCCCCTTTAAAGTGTCTATATGCAGCAACTAATCACATCTCAAAAAGTGCCAAAAGCGCGTAAACTATCTCGAATGTGCCCGAGTCACGACTTCGTTACCGTCTAAAGCGAGACAACACTACATTTGACACACGCGTAACGCCCAAGTCCGACCACTAGGGACTACTCCATGAAGGAAATATTTCATGCGCTGTATTTCAGTTGCCATGGTGATGATATTATAAACCCCAGTAACAAAACTGAACAGCAAGCTTAATCTAGGTTTGAGTTTAGGAAGAAGCAAGGTAGAGAGTTCGTCACATCCTTACCGTCCGGTGATTATCTCCTGGTTGTAGTGGACCGAAACAATTTCTGGCAGGGAGAGCTTTTATTGGCAACGCAGTCACAGGTACGGACACCGTGCCCTCTCCCAAATTGAGCGCGGTTTAAAGCTGTATGCGCGCTTTCGTACGAACAGCGATGTCGCACCGTTCATCTCGGTTAAAGACAGAAGTAAAAAAGCAAAATGTACGTTTCTGCTGATCCAGACAACCAGCTGCATGGTGCCAGGGTTTTAAAGCAGGCATTTCCCGTAACACGGCTGCTGCCGTAAAAGACGGTACGGGCGCTTCCCACCAGATGCCGATCACATTGTCCCGTTTCCAACGAAGTCGCGCTCTTTCCTGAAAGTGATGTGTGACAAACAGCGATAGCTAACCGGGGCACCGCACCAAACCAAACACCTTCGCTCTCCGAGTTGTGCATTTCGAATTCCTGACACACAATCAGTTCAAACCAAGTCACGCCTCTGGTTGAAGGCCGATATTCTCTTGGTGATACCATATATCTATCACCGTTTGTTAAATAAAGCATATACAGTGCTTTCTTACCGTTTTCCCACCTTCTATTACTTTTTTTACTGCAGTCCCGTCGGTATTCTGTGAACAAAAATTTTGGAAAAGACTTTCCTCAAAGGGCAGCTTCTGCTGAGTTAGCAAAATGTCAAGTTAATTTCCCCTCCCGATTCAGCTACGTCGCTTGGTCTTGGCATGGTGTACTCTGAAAACAAATTCTAACAATAGCAAAGGAGAGGGAGTGTGAAAGTGTGACGAATGCACGCTACATCGTCATACGTCTAGTTCGACATGCTCTCGCCCCACCAGAGTCACCAGCAGCGCCAGAAATGCACACTTCGCGGTGACGTTATTTATTGCTGGGATCACGAGCGTGTCATCATGATGACGGATGAGTTTTTTTTCTTGTTGCTGGCATCAAGTAACATATTAATCCCGTTATGTGCACGAATGTGTGCCATTGGTAAGTAGGCGGCTGTATTCAAGGAATCGCCACGGTCGTTCTCTATGCGCTTTGATGTAAAAAGGTGAAGTGATAGTTTATAACAAATTATCACTCAAGAGACGTGAAATTTGGCGAACCGCAAAGTCCGTAAAACCGAAATAGCTCTAAGGAATACATTTTATTGAGCCTTGCTTCTATAACTCGGCGCGTGAGTTCGCGAAGATGCACAACAAAATAATTCTAGCATGATAAATGTTAAAAATAAATTGACAGATAATCCTAAAGTGTAATGAAAGTCTCCAACGTCGTAAAGGCACATGCTATGGTTCAGCACAATTTCACAGAGTGCTTGGACTTTCATGTGAAACAGTCACGAGCTTCAGCAATCTCCAGTCATGTCTCGAGAGGGGATAGCCAATTTCTCTGGAAGTTCTTGGGTTTTGCAACTTGAGTATAGGTGCTGCTGTTGTAACTTTCTTTTCCTATCTTGATGGCACTCCCAGAGTGTCGTGGCACTCCATGGGGCACACAGGCATAGCAACAGTCCACCCAAGAGTCTGTACAGGTTGTTATAGGAGCCGATATTGTCTCGATAATAGCCTGAAAAAAGAAAAAAAGAAACAAAGAAAATGTACGTTAGAGTCTGCAACTGAAAACGCGGAAGATTGGTAACAGATTAGAAATAAATTTCTAGGCTAACGAACAGAAGAAAATGTAAACTTAAAAGGAAGAAACACATGGATGCTGCAATGTTTCAAAGGGATCGGAAAGTAAACATCATCGATTTTTCAAACCTAGCCTAATTTACGGCGTCCTATTCAAAGAGCCTAGACGGTCTTAGTTATTATCCATATGAAGTTTTCAATTCGTTGCATTTTAATTGATCTGTTCCTATACCCAAGCAGCACAGCTCGGCAAATTTAATTTTTCCCTCGTAACTTAGCGCCTCGTAAGCCCCAAGAAAGCAAGGGAATGACTAAATTTCGTATTATCTAGCCAACGTATGGGTATTTCGACATTAAGTTGCGGCGCAAATGGCAAAATTAGGCTTCACTATCTGATTGTTTCGTTGGCTATCGCAACCGTTCCAGATAAATTAGAAAATTATTACACATCTTGTTCGGTTTTCACCTTGTAAATTTGGGCATAAATTGCCCAACGAGCCTAAGAATTAGGCTTCAATCTTGACTCTACCCTGATACGCGGCACCTTTGGCTCATGTCTGAAAATTTGGCTGGTATGAATCGAATCAGAGAAAAACCAGTCAAGAGCCAAGGAAGAGTACTTTGGCATTAACTAATGCTTTGGAGCGAAAGTCTATTAGGCCAAAGTTGGGCCTTCAGGATTTCCAAACTTGGGTCAAGTTATGAGTTTCTGCGGCGTTCTGCCTAGGCTGTAACAATAACGACATTTGGAAGTGTAGAACATCTAAATAATACCGAGTTAAGTTACGGTTGCAGCGTCCCCTTTAAGTCTTATAATGAATTGGCGAATTAAACTTTATTTCCTTAGAAATTATATAAAAAATTTATCGACATTAGTAGGCCGGTGTTATTTTAATCCTTTTGAAATAGGATTGATTTTTATCGTGCTCTAACTTTTTATCTCGGCAAATAATCTGTTACCTCAATACCTCAATTTGGCAAAGGGATAGTCAAAATGCTTCAGAAATAGTGATTTAATAGTTTCTGATGGCACATAATGCCAAAAAGTGTTTCTTTAGTTTGTGCCCTATTAGGTAGAGTAAACAATCCTCTAGTTGAACCCTACATGGCATTTCAAAAACCATAATAAAAACTTTTTTTTGTGGCTGCTGATAATTGCTTTCGATTTCTTTATAACATGACTATAATAAGGCTATTCACACACTCCTCAAAATCACGGATAGGGTAAAAAGTTCATGTCTACGGTACATGAGAGGTGCAATGCTATGCACATCAAAACTTGCACGACATTCAAATGTCCGAATAATATACACATAATTAAGGAATACGGCCACACTACAGTTCTCTTTACACCACCAACGTATTTTTATGGCTAAATCATGCTTCTTTATATATGCGTTCCCGCTGATAATTTTACAAAATATCGCGTCATAAATAAAATGATTTGTTCCGCACTGCTAGTCATCACACGGAGATATGGTACTTTAAACATTCTAGGCACTCAGAAAATTTAGCAAAGAAAAGAACACTCACCAATGACTACGGGCTTGAGAAAGACCATGGGACCACTGAGTAGACCGGCAATCCCATAGCTGAGCGGCAGGCGCTCCGTACCAATGTACTTCGCCATCAGTACACCGTGCATAGCAAGTCCACACCCCATAAATAATGCCGCTAAAGCCCCAGTAAAAAGAAGGGTGGCGTACGACCACACTTCCGGCAAAGCAAGCACTGAAGAACCGAGGAAAAAATAGTTCACCGCCATGAGCGTACTTGTACGAACATACTGGTTGTCAGCAGCTACGGGGAGGAGAATCCTTCCACAGAGATCAGTCACTGCGTAGCCTGCCAGCAGGGTCACAACATTCTCGGCAGATAAGCCCCTGTCCATTGCGAAGTCCACTATGGTCATGAAAAAAAGTTCTATTGTGTACACCACGATTAACCAGGAGATTACGATGACGTAAAATGTTGGTGTGCACAGTATTTTCCCAGCATCCTTGGCAATCCTAAAACACGGTCTTGAAGATGTCTCTGACTTCGTTAGTTCTTCCGTAGTTTGGATGCTTCCATCGTTGGAATTGGTGGGAGCTTGTTTAGACCTGTCGTCACGATTTTGATGCTTTATCAGCATGCACAAAGGAATAAGGTGCAAGAGAATTGCTCCCAGAATTAACATACTTCCACGAGTGCTGAACGCCTTCTTTAAACTAAGTAGAACGGACGGAAAAACGAAGGAGGAAGATGCAGCTCCCGCGAACATGAGGCCGTGAGCCATTCCTATGCGTTTCCTGTAGTTCGTGCTGAGAAACACCTGCAGCATGGTGCGAATGAAGCCTCCTCCCATACCTGAAATGAAATACAATGAAAGTGGTAATTAGGGCTAGTTGGTTTATGATCAAGTAGGTAAGCGCCAAAAAAAACACAGACAATGAAGTACACAAACAAGGGCGCACTCGCCTTTAATCTTTTTTTTTTTTTTTTTTAAAACAACAAAAACTTGTATGCATGCGTCAAAACAAAGTCGCGGCTGATTCCGATGTAAACCCCGTAACAAACACGGGTACACATTTGCTGATAAGGACAGTGACTTGTCACTTATACACTTGTCAACCTTTACTCCGATTTCTAAAGCTTCATGAAGCTCTAGGAAACCTATCTGGGTACCTATCTGGGTACCTATCTGGGTACCTATCTGGGTACCTATCTGGGTACCTATCTGGGTACCTATCTGGGTACCTATCTGGGTACCTATCTGGGTACCTATCCAGAAACGTGTTGTCACTAAATGACTAAGCACATGGGCAAGGACTGCAGTGAGTGGCCAGGTGTTCCCACGGGTTAGCTTGCGTCGCCGCGGCATGTTTTTGCGCACGATCATTGAAGAACCTACCTGCCTGGTCGATGTAATACGAGCCACATGACAAGGAAATTTCGCACACTACTCCCGCAGTGCACTCTTTGCATTTGGCGCGGTGCCTCGTTTCGAAATGATTTGTGAAATTACTGGGATTGTTTATTGTATGGCACAACCGTGACAGCTTATTAGGTGCAGTGAAAATCACGAAAATACGGGTACAAAAGACCGCTCGGTACGAGCGGTGTTTTCTTAGGATTATGCGGGACGCTGTGCATAAACAAAATAAAACCGGCCGCGCCGAACTCCTGTCCCGGGTTGCCTATTTATCCCTTTCATAATTTTTTTTACCAGGCTTTCTGCCACCTCAACCAGAGTGCTTTGGGGGAGACCCGCTCTCTCCAGCCGTGCTACGTGCTCCTTGAATCTTTCTCGGGCACTGTGCCTGCAAGACTTCTTGAGTCGCCTCTAGACACGTGGAGGCAATGCTTCTTAATATTTTTAAATGGGTGGAGTTAAACGAAAGTTTACATTTTTTTTTGAACGTGGCTCATACATCCAAGAAATATGATCATTCTCTTGATTTAAACTGAGTTCCAGGAACTGCAATCGTCCTCCTCTTGACTCCTCATGCGTGAATTTTAACCCACTACAACATGGCCCGAAAACCTCAATACCTCTGTCACGTCACTAGTTAATGTATCAGCCTGTTTACTCAGGAGGAAATCAACCGCATATCTGAACACTTTGAACTTGTACGAGTCCCGCAGTTTGTCTTAGATGGCTCTTCCGCTGACACTTGTAACAATGTTGCACAAAACAGGCGCCACACAAGAGCAGATGCAGATGCAGATGCCCCTTTTTTGCATAAAAATATTCCCTTCAAAAGAAACAAATGTGTGGTTGAACTGAAAAGTCACAAGGTTCAGAATTTGTTCGACGCTACTAGCACACGAGTTCTGGAACGAAAGAATACAGTTATGTTCAATGCACCCTGACACGAAAACAGGGGTTCCTGAGGCACTGAATAAAAAGGTCTTCAGCGTAGAAAGAAAATGCACACCGTATTCCCTGCGCACCCTCTAAGAAAAAATCGATGATGCATTCGGAGTTTTACACGAACGGATCGCGCAACTCAACAGGATGGGTGGATGTTATTGCTAAAAATACCCTTTTTAACGGGCGGCAGCTTGCTCCGCCTAGCCTAATTAGCGTTCAAATGCTTACACAGGTGGCTGGGCAGGTGAAACTGCTATGAATTCCCCTCGGCAAAAGTAACACTTAAGGCAGCCCATATTTTATGACTTTTGAAGCAAAAGTCTAGTTGCATTTTCTTGCTAGCTATGACACTTTTTAGCAGCCCAGCCCAGCACATCTCTATAGTGCGGGCTTTCACCTTTGCTAATGATGGCGGATTCACTCGCTTGAAGTTCTTTTGTATGGCTTCTCATGCCTTGGTGCTGTAGAAGGCACCAAGGCACGAAGCCTCCCTCCTTGTCCGAAGTGAGCAACTTCAGGTTGTTGTCCAAGAAGCAGTCGAGAATGCTGCTGGTCTTGGAAGTGTTTTGTCGTGCAGCCAAGAAAGCGATGGAGGACGTCAACGCCTTCAGCCACATATCTTACTCTGTCATGAGGTTCGACCTTCTGACCCATCCATTTCACGAAGGGTAGTTTCGTGATTGGGCCGCAAGCGCGGTTCTTGGCAGAATTTCGGCCCGTGTTCTAAGCAAGTTTTCATGGGGAGAGGATGCATCGCATCTCCTAGAATTCAGACTTCTTGACTTCTTACCCGGCCTCCAGTTTTCTTATTCAGCGTTGTTCTTGCCTGCTGCCACAACTCTGTATTGCGCTGCTGTCCTGAGAGGAAGTTTAAGCTCTATCAGCCGGCTTTTTCTCTTGCTTCACTGTAATGGCAATTGATTTTCAGGGCCTCGATACATCCCAACCCGCCTCCATGATTCAGACCTCCAAATTCGACATTCTTTTTTTGGTTGATGTTCGCCGATACGTTAAAGAGGGCAACGACTTCCGAGGGTAGCATTCGTGGCGGATGGCTAAGGTATATTTCCTGTAGCGGCAACATGCACTAGCCATAGGCCTAATGTGCCGTAAAATGATTAATGGAAGAACATTTAAAATAGCCCGTTGTAATGGAAATAAATTACATAATCCCCGTTTATTTCTAAAAGAAAACTCTGCATACATTTCAACTGGACATTCTCTTCACCGCAAACCCCCGAAAAATTGGGGCCCCTGTTAGCAATTCATAAAAGTTTCGCATGGATAGCTTCCTGTGTAAGCATATAACCACACTTGAGTCGTGCGATCTGTTCATCGTGCGAAACTCCGAATGCATCATCGATGTTTTTAGAGAGGCTGTGCAGGGAAGGCGAAGTGAATTTTCTGCCGACGTTGAAGACCTTTTTTATTCACTGCCTCGTGAACCCTTGATTTTTTTCTGTAAGAGGGTGCGCACTGTACAAAACGCTATCCGTTCCTGTGCTCCTGTGGTATTAGCGTCGAAGATTTTCTTGAGCATTTGACTTTTTACTTAAAAGGCACATTTGTTTGTCTTGAAGGGGATCTCTTTGTGCAAAAAGGGGGCACCTGCATCGGCTCTTTTGAGGCGCCTGTTTTGCGTAACATTTTTCTAAGCGCCTGAGGAAGAGCCATCTCAGAAAAACTGAAGGTATCGGACAGGTTCAATGTCTTTAAGCATGTGGAGATACCCCGCTTCGGGACCCGGCCAACTCGTAGAAAGCGAACTCGTCGACGGGCAACTTGTCGACAGCTAATTCGTCGAATAGGCCGATTCGTAATAGGGCGATTCGTCGTAGGGCAACTTGTCGAAAGGGGCAATCTGTCGAAGGGTGATTCGTCGAAAGGATTGAATGACGGTTCGAGGTAAAAGCTCGTGGTTCCTTGTTATCTTTTGACAAAGTTTTGTTTGTGTTTGGCTTAGGGACAGCGCCCTAGTTCAAAAACATATTTGTGTTTGGATTAGGGAGAGACTATCGCCGCGAAGTGGCATGACTGGTGAGCCAGGTGGGTTAGCATTTCTGTTATGAGCCGCCGCAGACTGTCACACGCGCGACGTAGTGATCGTCACACACTGCACCGTGAAAGCGGCGAAAGCTGCAAGTTGTTATTTTTGACAAGAAAAGAGCACTCTGGAGATCTATTACCGTGCGGCGATATTACGCATTGCTATAGGGTAGGATTTCTTTAAAATTGCAAAACAAAAGATATGTAATACGGCTCTGAAACAGAGGCGACCAGTTGGCCTCTTCGACGAGTTTTCCTTCGCCGAGTTGCCCTATGAAGAATTGGCCTATTCAACCCGTCGACGAGTTGGCCTAGACCCCCCTCATTCTAAGTAGACAGGCTGATACACTGGTTAGCGACGTGAGGGAGGTGTTGGAGGTGTTTGGGGCATGTTGTAGCTGCTTAACATTTACGCACGACGAGCAAAGAGAAGGACGATTACAGTTCCTGGACCAAAGGTAAAGTTTACAGAACGACCATATTTGCTAGATGTACGAGCCACGTTCAAAAAAGGTAAGCTTACGTGTAAGTCCAAACATTCAAAAATATTAGGAAGAAGAACTACCTCTACGTGTCGAGAGACGGCTGTCAAGAAGTCTTGCAGGTACAGTGCCCAAGACCGTTTCAAAAAGCAGTTAGTGCGGCTGGAGAGGGCGCGTTCCCCTCGGGGCACCCTGGTTGAGGTGGCAGAAAGCCTGGTAAAAAACTTTAAAGGAATACAGAGACAACCCTGCGACAGGAATACGGACCGACCGGTTTTATTTTCCTATATGCACTCCGTCCCGCATAATCTTGTGAAAGTGGCCGCTCGGTACGATGTACCGGTGGTTTTCACTGTACCCAAATAAGCTGTTGCGATTGTGCTGTAGGATCAACAATCCAGTGATTCTACAGATCTTTGCAAAACCAAGCACCGCACCAAATACAGAAAGTGCACTGTGGCAGTAGTGTATAAAATACCCTAATCATGCGTTTTTTTTTTTATCGGCCAGAAAATCAGGTGCTTCAATGATCGTGCGCGAAAACATGCCGCGGCCGCTCAAGCTACCCCATCGGGACACCTGACCACTCGCTGCAGTCGTTGCCCATGTGTCCATTCATTTAGTGACAGCAGCTTTCAGGCTTGTTACCCAGATAGGGTTTCTAGAGCTGCATGCATCTTTTTGAAATCAAAGCAAAGGATGACAAATGTACAAATGACACGTCACTGTCCTTATGGGCAAATGAGAACTCTTTTTGTTATGGGGGTTAGATCGTAATTAGCCGTGACTGTCTGTTTTAGCATGGTTATAGATATGCGCTTTTTTGTTTCAGATCAATGTAAGTTGCGAGTGCTTCCCTGCGTTTTTTGGCGCTTACCCACTTGAAATACCATGGTTTGAAATCACTTAAATTTCGTTCGTCTTCTGTGAGATGAGAGAACACTTTAGGACTGTTTGAAGGACATGGGCATTAAAGTATTTTCGGTAGGTGTGATATAATATATAATGAATGATATAAAAAAAAGCAAAACATGTCAAAAACGCCTTTGATTCAGAGGCTCTAGGATAAGAAAATACGTAATGCGAAACTTCGAGTCATACTTAAGGTTGTGCAAATAAATATATACAGTAAAGCGAGTGAATTTATTGGATGTTAACTAGGAACTACTGTTACGGAGAAACAAATGGGAACTAAAAACAACATCATATCCAAACTTAGGTTATTACATCTGACTGCGGATATAAAAGTAGATCATCTCCGGATATTTATCTCGTTTTCACGAAGCAGAACCCTGGATTCTGCTCCGTGAAAAGCCTCAGTGGAGGCACTCAATTCTAGGAACGCCCGTTTGGCCTGCTGACAATGTCAGAGTAAGGTAGACGTTGGAATGATTGAACGGCAAAATCAGCAAGTAGCTTCATTCGCACCTGAAACTATATAAAATAAGCCTACTTTCACGATGGTATAGTGCGCACGAAAGTAGTTTCAGCGGCTGTTCAATTTTTTGTCATCACTCCCCAGTTTTGTCCATGAAATGCTTTTGAGTTAAGCGATATTCCCACGTGCGTCGGCGAGCGAGCGCGTGCGTGCGCGGCCGAGTGGTTACTGCTTGACTTTCGTGCGGAGCCCCAGGGTTCTATTCTTGGGAATTACTCGTCTTATATTTAATCTTTCCGTTTAATGTTCTGGTGAATTCGAGAACATTGTTGTTTATTCTGGGTCCGAATGGACTAGGCGTCGAAGCTTCTACGCCTATTATTCCAGAAGCCCACGCGTGTAAGGGGCTTCGCGTGGCGAGCCAAAGTCAGTTTTGCATCAGCGCTCGATCCTGCTGTTTCGCCGACATCGACGCCTGCGACACTATCGTTCTATCTTATTTTGGGCACAAGTTCGCCCAATTAAATGTTTAATTTCTTCAGTAACTCACCACCTCATGCTCTGTCATTCGTGACAATATCTGCCCTAATATTAGGTCAAGCATGCGGGGTTACCTGACAAAAAACAAAAGGGAGGACCTCTCAAGATCGATCTCGCCATCTTATCGTTTAACGCCGCAAACTTTATCTAAATTCAGCGAGAGATCAGCATTGAGTCTCAGCAACCGGCCGAGCCAAGGGTGACAGGAAAAGGTGAAAAACCGCTGAAAAGACGCTTCTTTTAGAAAGCGCTTGGTGCTTTCAAAGCCACTGGCTTGCTTGGCCCTTCCCATATCTTTCTTGGCTGCACGCATGGTTATTAAGCTTTAAAAAGGAACAGTCTATATAAGGTCATAACCCAACATATCGGCTCTTAAGCAGTCTAAAAACGCAAGCATGCATTACATTCACATGTGGCCGATTTCTCTATTAAAATCGTTATCTAAGATCGATTACCTCGGAACTATTGCGGCCACCAGAGGGCGCAGTCTGACGAAAAAAAGAAGCTCCTCGTCTACGTTTATTTTTTTTTTAATCTTTCTACAGAGCTTATTAAACTTATACGGAACAGGCGAACCTTATATCTTCTCTCCTGAGAGCGCTATGCTGGCGGTGACGGAAGAACTGTTCCAAGACGTAGCGCTCAGTAAAATAGCCCGAGTAGGGAAGGCCGCTCGCTCAAGGCCGGAATTGTGGCTGTACAGTGGGCACCCCAACGATTTCGCCGGCCGGCTAATTTATACGCATCGATGCATAGGTTAAAAGAGTAACTAATTGAATGATGCATAGGTTACTGTCAAAAGAGTAACTAATTGAATGATGCAAAGGTTACTGTCAAAAGAGTAACTAAGTGAATGATGCATAGGTTACTGTCAAAAGAGTAACTAATTGAATGATTCAATCTGTAAGCTTTTTAGGTGTCTACTGATTGAGGCGAAACATGCAAATTGCTCGTGTTGTCCTCGCTCGAATCCCGATTTCGGCCTTGAGCGAGCGGCCTCCCCCCCCCCCCCCTACTTGGACTGATTCATTGAGCGCCAAGTTATTAAGCAGTTCTTCGACTGCCGCCAAAAAATCGCTCCCATGAGATAAGATGCCGTTTGCGTGTTCGGGATAAGTTTGAAGAGCACTGTACGTATGTTTTCCCTATTCCTCTCACAGCTGCAACTTTTTAGGCTTGATATTTCTAGAGCCATTATAATGAAGATTGCTAATCACTATAAAAAAAACATGCCCCCCTCCAAAAAAAAAAAGAAAAAAATTTACACATTAAATATGGCCGGTGAAATTCACCTACTTGAAGTATCGAGCTGTAGCTTCTCAAAGAAGTCTTTACTGGACTATGTTTGCCCAGCTTATTAAGAGATGGCACCACCAATCCCGGCAAGCCGCGCAGTGTACAGAGGGTGACATACTTCGCAAAGACCTCGTGTAAGCGCGCGTTTCAGTTCGGATATCCCTGAAAACGCAAGCTGATAACTCAATTCCCAGATCGTGTTCTCAGCACGGTGAGCCCCACGCAATAGATATTGATAAAGACGCTAGCTGCTGCTTTTTAAATCAGTTACCTTCATTACCCATTTTTCTTGCTTTTTGAATATGCTTTCGCAGTTTGGTGTTTCTTAAGACACACAACAGGCGCATTTTCGCCGGCATTCGTAACGGCCAGCGCCTCATATGCGCGCGCCTCCCTGCGCTAATAGCGCTTTGCGGCAATGCTGGCGCCACCTACGAATAAGCTGGGCACACATAGCCGTTGCTCGATCTCCCTCGGGCAGCCGCAGCTCCACCATTGAAAAATTCAGTTTTTGAATTATTCTTTTAGTTTTATTAGGAGTAGAGAATTGAAAATTTTGCATCTTAATTGAACCAGTAAAAGACGTATTTGAGAAAAGTTTCAAGTCAATACTTCATTTTTGCTGACCATATTGGTATGCAAGTTATTTAGAGGGCGGGGGAGGGGAGGGATTTGACACGCTTTAGATCTTTTTCTTTATATTTTAAAGCCCTTACCGTGGACGAAACCCAAGGTGAACGACATCCAGGCGAGTGTTGGAGCGAAGGATGCGCCCACCATGCCGATCACGTTCGCACAACTCCCGATCAAGAGAACCGATTTCACAGAAATCAGGTAACACAGAGGGCCAGCCAGAATTCCTGCAGTGAAATTCATATGTTAGTCCTGGAAGTGCGGGGAGACTGGATAGTCATTGATTAAAACATCAATAACCAGCGACAAGTTTAGAAATATTTACAATGAGCATAGTGAAACTCGTGCTCAGAGCCACAGCGCAAGACTCTTAGATATATACTCGTCATCACATAAAGAAAGGACGTTTTTCCCATATTAGTCATTTGTTGCGCGAAGTAGGTCTCACAAAATTTGGTTGCCAATATACAAGAAAAAAATGCGGCGATGATTTTGGTTTTTGAAATTTGTTAAAGTGTAACCAAGCAGATCCCCAAGATGCCACATATACACATCTTAATTCAACGCAGGAGGGAGAAATTAACCTTCCGCGAGGAGCCGGACTTTTTTTTACTGCTGCTCTTGAGGGTGAATGCGAGTATGGACATATATAGAGCCTAATCGTCGTACGCCGAGCTCCCAACGTAGATTGCAGCGAGTGACTCTATCCAAGTGATTTGCGAGAAAACAGGCGCTCAAAATTGCTCAGAGTGTACGCCTTTGGTTCAGAAATTCCGTCTGCAATGCGACAGAGATTGTGACGGCAACGTTTAAACATGCACCACGATCCGTGTCAATTTGCAGATATCCTGTATTGAGTCAAAACGATATTTTTTTTCTTTTCTTTGTCACCGCAAGAGCGAAAGCGATATCTAATTCGCCTCTCGCAAAGCGAGGCGCAAATTACGTACGTTGTCTAACGAACTGAACAAAGAAATACAACCTTCCTTGGCGAATACACACTACTGTAACAGCGGTAACTGCGACACTTCAATGGACCCTGGTATATTTTTATGTGAATGGCACCTAACTTGGACGAACCTTCCACAGCATTTGATTGGGTGGTGACGCTATTCCCCAAAGAGCCCTCTAACGGGCGCGGCGTAAGACTCAGCTGGAGTGATGCAACGTTAGAAAGCCTAGATTGAAGAGATTGTTCATCTTAACCCACGGGAGCGTTGGCAATGCGGAGCTCAACTTCGTCAGCTTCTTTTGCGGGGGTTCGGGCGGCGTCAGAAAGCCGTGCTCAATTGACTCTGATTGAAGGATAGTAGGTATACCTCAATGGCTAGCTGCCTTGAGGCCCACCCACTATCCTTCAACAAGAGCCAACCAGAGTTCAGAGTTCTGACGTCGCCACAACATCTGCAAAAGAAGCTGACGAACTTGCACTCCGCATTTAATAGCGGACGCCTTCTGTGGAGATTAGGCGCAAGGGTGCATCCGCTGCGTTTTTGCGTTTCGGTGAGGAAAGCAGGTGGAAAGGCGAAGACCCTTGCATTAGAGCAGCGCTTTCGGCACAGCTAGGATTGCATATGCGGCCCATCAACGACGGGACCTCGAATAATCAGTACGAAAATCTGTAACACAGGCTCTCTATGCGACGTTACCTAAATTTCGGCTCTCTAGCGGGCGCTACGCAAGAATCATACGCGTAGCCGTCCTCAACAGGTGCGGTTTAGTAGGCGGCGCAAGGAAGCAGCGGGCACGACTTTGTAATAGTGTACCTGCTTCAAAATCATCGAACCCGCTAACCCGAAAAAGTATTTTGAGATAACCGTGACTGGTTCTGGAGTCCCCTTTTCAAGATTCTATATATCGACGACGGACGTCCCACGACTGCAATAACTACAACGTTTCGAGTAAACTGAAATCTCAAACAGAGCTGTCGCTGCAGATGTGAATCGTCTGCTAGAAAGCGAGTGCCGGGGCGAAGTGAGATCAGGCGCAGGGTGAAATGACGATTGTTTGCAGTTTCACGAAGGCGATCGTTTGCAGATCAAGTCGTTCTGCCTCTGTAGTACACAAGCTGACATCAACAGATGAATGAGGGACTAATGAAAACGAGCACATCAAAGGCCGAGACACCTCTCTCGCCATTTGTGTTGGTGAAACGTTCTCATCAAAATATTGCCCGATCGTAAATTCACGAAAGGGTCCAACGGTGAGCTAAGCACGCGCCAAGCAGGAAGCTGTGACGCCTCATCCAGTCGTCAGCCGAGAAGACGAGGGTTCGAATTAATTAATCTTGCCTTTTTTCTAGTGGTTCCCAAACCCCCAAATTTGCCCCATTGCTAAAAAAAAAAAAGACAACCTAACGCATGTTGCATTATTCTTTTAAGTACTCAACCTAGTAAAAATCACAATTTGTTCATAATGTTACTGAATCCCGGGAAAATAGCGTATGGCTGTATGGTCGCCGTTTTTGTTCACGGAATAATCATTTTGTCCTTAACCTCTTCATTTTTAGACAGCCGATCCGAACCCCTGGCGACAGGTTGTTTTATAAACACGCATCTTCAATACCGCCATTTTGGTATCCAGACACCCGCGAAACACGCGCACATGTTCGCACTGTCACCGTATGCGGGGTCGATAGTTGGCGGTATTGAAAAATAATTCTCCTGCCCTTACATACGCAGGAAAAATACCATCGTAAGTGATCTATGAAGAAAAGTATGATTGATAAGTGCGTTCCATGCACATTGCCAGAGACGCGTATTGGGGACGAACGCTTTAGGTACGACGATGCATTTTTGCGGTCTTGGCGCGACTGGTTCAGAGCGGCCCTTTCGAATCAACGAAGATTTGAATGGATCAAAATGGCTCTTCCATGGCAGCTGAAATTAACCAACCAATCACTTTGCTAGGTTTGAGGGTCTTTAAGTTAGCATCGTGTCCAGCCAGCAGGCACGGAGGGCAATGGCGCTACTTTTCTAGATGCCATTGACTATTTATACGCGCTCGTCAAAAAAGTTTTATTTTTTCTCAGAAAACAAACAGTTTAACCGAAACTATCACACTCCCCACACATCCCAAGAACCAATTACTAATCCGAAGTGAGAGTCAGGCGGCCTGTCTGTCACTCCGAGACGTCACCCTGTTTTCTGAAACCTCTGCTGATCTTCACAAACATTTCTGTCCCACAATCCTACCCTCGAGGTGACCCTCCAGCAAACTTGTACGTAGTTCAACTACACTACTAAGGTTTCTGCAGTTTGAGTAGTTTAGGAACTTTCAATTTCATTTTGTTAATTTGTAGTTTACTTCAATTACGTTTTCCGAGTAACTTCCACTCAAATTACAAATTACTTTCAAATTTTTTGGTAGGTTTGCTTATCAACAAACATACCTGCACAAAAAGAGATAAGATGTTGGAAGATTAGTTCATATTCGCGAAGAGGGGGAAGCATGTCGCGTAGGCAAAGGGGGGCGGGAGCGAGTGATTGCAGGGTCTGAGACTCCCTAACATTTTCACGAGCCCCCCCCCCCCCCCCTTCAACAGCCCTGCTACGACGCACAGGGAGGCGACAGACAGGTCACAAGTGAGGCCGTGTAACTACTGGATTAGTGCCGAAGACTGGCGTTTCGTTGTGTCCCAAACCTGAACGAGACTTGACGCCATTAAACAAAGGGCTTGTCTCCGGTTCTTCCCAACGAAAGAACTCTCGCCCACTACAAGAGGTGTGGGCACTGCATTCCTGCTCCCAGGAGACAACAAAATGCAGCACCCGCTCTGATGCTCGTCTGGTGTTCCCGTAGTTTGTGCTGTACTTGAAGAATCGCGTGCAGGGTGACCTCTTTGCATTTCCTTTCCTCCCAAAATTCATAATATACAGGTCTTCCAAGATTCGAAGATCACTCGACAAAGCTTAGTAATCTCTCAACGTTTTTACATGAAATAATGATAAACGAACAATTTTGGGGAGTACATTAAGAACATACTTAGAGTACTATTCAAGTAGCTTTACAAAACTTGTATTTTACTTAAAGTGTATTCTCAGAGCGTGCACTAGTAATATATTTAAGAATTTATATTGGTACATTCCGAGGAACATAGAACTCCCGACTTCAAAAAGCATTCCCCAAATTGAAATAAAAAAAATAAAAAAAACCGTTTCGTCATGTGAAAACACGCTATCATCTTTCGAGATGTCATCTGGACATTTCTCTGAGTGAAGTAATCGCGGCTATAAGAGCGATACAAATAAGTGCCTTATAATTTGATCGTGTTGAATACTTTGTCAGCTAGAGTAAGGCAGCTACTCTTTGGCGACTTGACATTATCCAATATTTTCCACCATTTCCTAAAACTGATGCACCTCCGATTACCCCCAAAACAATGCACATAAATTAAGAGAAATTGTATAGAGGATGAAAGGGCATCTTGAAAGACTGTATTAAGAAGTGTAATTTACTTAGAAAGTACATTGTATTTATAGTACTTACTTCAAGTACATTGCACCCGGTGTACTTATTGCTTTATTTGAAGTACATAACCTCTCATTGACTTTGTACTTCATCTACTTTTCACATATACAGACGCTACGCTTTGATCAAGTAAACACTGTCTGAAATATCAAACTCAGGCAGTGCTAATCCCCGGGATAGAAATAATACGTCCGGGGTGCATCATTGACCAAGAAACAAACAAGTACAAAACAATTAGGCACGCAGAAGCAGAACCACCTATTAATACATTTCTGTGAAAAATCAAGCCGCTTATATATAACTAGCAGAATTTGGCTAACAGATCAAAACCTATGTACATTCTTCTTACCAGAAAAAAAAAATATAAGTAACTTCAAAAAGGAATTTAGAACTTTCTTACGGTAATGAGTAATTTACTAAATTACTTTCCTATTGAGCAATTTCTACTCTACTCAAATTACGTTTGAGGCCAATACTCAGTAACTTAACTTGATTGCTTTTTTAACTAACCTAAACTCCCTCGGCGCCTCTCATTCTCCCCTTCCCACGGGCGCTGGTCGCTCACATCCAAACAACACTCAAGAGCACCGAATGGCGAAGACAATCAGGCCCTCTTCTGAGCACCGCACGGGGCTTCATTTTTAATATAAAGCTTTGACTGACACGCACACACACACACACACACATTCGATTAAAAAAAATAAGTAGGCGAATTTAGAGCAACACATTTTTGTAGGCATTAAAAATAACGTACTGCATACTTTTCAGTGGGACATTCATAATATGACTTAAATAACCGTAATTACAACGAGTTTATTATGACTAAATACACTAATGATGAGGGCTGGGAACGAATAAACGGAAGGAGGAATTAGAGGGCCTAAAATATTACACATTCAAAAAAAAATATATTTTTTTTTAATGAATCCCACTTACCACCGATGTCGTTCATGGCACCTAGAATGCTGATTGGCCAGGAGGCCGGACCCCGGGTGACGGTGAACTCGTCCATAATCATGACGTAAAAAATGCCAGAACATCGGTACGTGGACGCCTCCAGGAAAAGCATCAGGGCCGCGATGATCACAGGAATCCATTTCGTATATCCCCTTGGTTTCTCGAAGCTCGCAGTCTCCTCCATTGTCCGAGGATTTAGAACGTCACGTGCGAACTGCAGGAGAAATGTGATACGATATAAGAAAAGACCGTAACAGGAACGACTCGTTGACACCTACACTCAAATATCCGTTCAATACGCACCAAAAAAAAATTAAAATGTCTATTTCGGTTGTTTGAGAATAAGGCCCGCATTGGATAACATTCAGTAACTGACAAGATAAAAACGGCAGGGCATTTTTTTTTATCTCCGGGCTTTCCGCTGCGTTTTAGTTGCGGGCGCGCGCGCTCGAAGTGCACGAGGTACCCGAAGCCCTATTGAAGCAGGCTTGCGCGGTACTGACATAGCCTCCTCTATACTCACAAAGTCTGGCAGTTGGAGGACGGAGCCATAGACTGCCCGGTCGCAGATTTCGAGCGCGAGGATCTGGTAGCGCAGAGCATCAAAGAGCCATTTCTAGGGGAACCTGAACGTCAGCGCACAGCTTATGCCGTGGCGAGGACCCGAAACGCACTTGTTCGCTCGGGAGAAGTGCGTTTCGGCGTCTCGCCGCAGCGGGGCGCCAGTCCCGTGGCTCTCTTTTCATCTCTGCCGCTCCACCTTGGCGATATGCCAGGCTTTGTCACTATCTACGAGGCTATGGTACTGATTATAAGCAATGGAACTGCTTGTCATCGATTACTTTCTGAAGTAATCTTGTAATCATTTGATTACATCTATGAGGAAGTAATCACTATAGCAATGTGGCTACTTTTGGAAGTGTATTAAGATTTTTTTGTAACCATCATAGATTTTCTCTTCCAAATAATGGCGCCCTTTTTGTGTACAGGTTTGCAACCAAGTAATTCCCGAACCAAGTGTCCGACAGGGGGATGTGGTTTACAGAAATTGGTCGACCAAGAAATAGAGAGGTTTAGGGAACCGTTTTTGCACATCCGATTAGGTACGATGGGTCCCCGATACTAACTGCGCATATGTGTGTCTTCTATGGTAGCGCGTGCGCAGTGCGTACCGGAGGGACCATCGTAAACTATCGGATGTGCAAACACTGTTCCCTAGAACTCTGATGAGTAGTTTATACGACGACAATTCTAACCTACGAATGGAGAGTAAGCCAAAACCCCCATTTTTGAAACCGGCAGAAAAAAATTGTTTGGAACATCAGAAGCAATGAAAGGTAGAACGGTCCCTTTTACAAGTAACGGCATTACTTTTTTTATTTCAAATAATTAAGCACCTAATGGATTATCTTTAATTGACAGTATCGGTGATCAATTACTTCCTTCGAATAACGCGCACCAGACAGTGTAACAGGTAGGAAGCTATTCGCTGGGGGCGGGACGACCGAAGCACCTCCGTGCCGGTGTCACCTTGTGAGTGACTTAGTGGCCCCAGTTTCCGCTATAGTTGGCGTTTTTATATTTCCAGGAAGAAGATACGGAAGTCGAGTAGTCGGTGATGCTAAATCAATACCGAGTGCGCTTGTGATTTTGTGTATCGTATATAAACAAGGTACAATCGGTACTAAAAAAAAAAAAAAAAAAAGAAGAAAAGAAAGATTACGAAGGAGCAACTACCGGCGTGCCGACGAAAGAGCGGCACGTGGCGCTGCAAACGCGCAAAACGAAACGAGGAAAAGACTGCCGACAGATGCAGATGATGCATCTTTAGAGGCATACGGCGAGGTGGGCAGGCAGCACCTGACCCCGAGTCGCGCTTTCAAATCACTTATCAGCCTCGGGCTTTCAGCGGCCAAGCATGACTCTGCACAATGTGCCCTTTAATTGCTCTTTGAGAGCATCCTTAATTTTTATTCCGCGCTTAGCCATTGGTGGTTTCAGACGCCGAACTGAAAAGTAAAACAAATAGAAGTATCCATTCAAAAAATGAATATATATAGACAGGATTTTTTTAACAGATTTGTTAAAAAAAAGCCGTGAAAGTTGAAATAGGTTCGTGCAGGTGAGTTATGCAGCCAGGGGGACACTGTATAGTTGGCTAATTAATTAAAATTCGTTAATCAACTTTTTAATTAATGAAAATAGACATATGGTTTCACTTAGAAACTTTCTCAGCGTCATAAATAACACTAAATCAACTCGTTTTAGAAGGATATAACGCGGGGACAGCATATTACAGCGTTCCGTAAATACGCTCAATTCGGACGCGTTTTTAGGTTCCGATTTCTTATCGGAGCGCATCTCTGCGACCGCGGTCCTGCTCCCCAGCGGCTGAGGCGCGCAACACCCGGCCGCCAAACTTCCCTCCATGCTACGAGAGATGCGGGAGAAGTGGGGGGGTTTGCGAGCGACCACCAGGGGGCAGGTCTGCGGGCGCGAAGATGAGCTCCGATAAGAAAGCGAAACCTAGAAACTCGTCCAAATCGTGCGCTTTTTAGAGCGCAGCTCTTAGGCGCCCGTTTCCGGCTTGAGCGGCGTCGGCGTCGCCGTCAACGTAACCGCGCGGTGCATTATTAGTAAATTTCCCCGCTAAATCCCCCACTAAATCTAGCGAAAACATTTCCCCGCAAAATCTAGCGGAAAAAATTTCCCTGTTAAACCTAGCGGAAAAATTTCCCCGCTAAACATAGCGGAAAACTTTCTCTGGGGGGTCACGTGACCCCCTTAGCTCACGTGACCCCCACATGATTTTGGGGAGGGGGTCACGTGACCTTGGGGGTCACGTGACCTTTATGGCCTTGGCTGCTCCTCAAGAGCTGCGCTCTAATTCGGCGTTACAGGGAGCTGTAAAATGCTTTCATTTTTCAAGACGCCGTAAAATGCTGCTCCTGCTTGCGTCCTTCTAAAAAAGTAGTGTGTGTAAATATGAGCAACCAACTCGCCCAAGCTGCTACGTTAACAAGATACATTTCTAAAAAAGGTTCATTCAGTGGTTTCCGATGACGCGCAGCAACTTTCTGATTGGTACCATACGTCCTTTTTTTATTAATTAAAAGTTAATTAACGAGTTTTAATATTAGCCGACTGATCGTTACAATCAGCCCCCTATACTCTGTCCCCCTGGCTGTAGAACTCACCTGCACAAACCGGATAAGCAACTTTATCGGTTTTTATTTAAACAAATTTGTTAAGTTAAGAAGATGCACCCGATACTAGATAAAAGCGTGCGCGTATAAGTGCTGCTATATATATATATATGTATATATATAAAGCAGCACTTATACGCGCACGCTTTTATCTGTCCGCACCAAGCGCATCAGACGGCGCTAGCTCGAGCCGGGAGTCCCTCCGGTTTTGGAAACGCGGTCACCGCATGCGTTGACATCACACACAGTGCTCGCTATGCTGTTCTTCCTGTACCGAGAAAGTGGAAGCTATCGGGCAGCCTGTGGTAGGCTTGGAGAGTAGGGACTGGCGCCAAGTGGCTGACCCTCCGGTAAAAGGGATTCACGCCGGGATTTGTTTCAGTTTTCCGCCAAAAGCAGCGCTAACCGCTGCGCCTTCTGCTTGACAACGAGGCACATACATTTCATATGCCCCTTGATGACATGCAAAGAAAAAAAATGATCAGTCCTACACTACAGTGTGAACCAACATGTCTCTTCGATATCAATATCATGCTGCTCTTTGTATTGTTTGTCATCACCGTGCATTTGAATACACGCTTTTCTGAATCCCCCAAGCGCCCCGACCCACACTTGAGGAATTATGGGATTGGTGGTCCTTCAGTTTCATAGTGATTGGAAATTTGGAACAATCTGATGGTACACACTTGAGCCTAATCCGAAGTCTCCCTGCACACATGTTCTCCCTGCACACATGTCGAGAGTCCAAGAACATGTCGTATTACTTAAACTTTCTCGGCAATGTTAGCATTTTTGATACTGTGCTTGCGACCCACCTTTCAACCTGGTTGTGCCGATGAAAACGCTTACAATATTATCAATCTCGGGATTGTTGTTTTAGCAGAAATTGCTCAAAACATCGACAATTCACAACAACCCAAACCAGGATCTTGCTCGGAGACAGCCAGACTGTTTATAGCATTTTTTTGCGTTTCTAACCTAATATGAACGTTCGATAGTGATAAAGATTTGTGCAGCTCAGCCAGGTTGAAGGATGAACCCCATGCACAGTATCGAAAATGCTAACATTGACTTCAAAATTTAAAAGTGATCTGAGAGGTCTTTGGACTCTATACGACGCTTGTTCAGTGTGACTCCGTATTACACTCAAAACTGTAACCATTGAATCGGTCGAAATTCCCGATCACCGGGGAGCTAAAGGACCACCGTTCCCATGATTCCTCGAGTGCGGGCCGAGCCGCTTAGAGTATTTAGTATATGGTCTATTGAGCGTGCAGTCAATTCGACGACTAGCGAAAAATAAGGTAGAAAACTCAAGCAAACCGGCACGAATTTCATTTTTCGAAAGGGCCGACCAATTGGCACGGTAACTACTCTCGAAGCGCACCACAGGCTAAGCAGGAACTTCCGCCGAGAATCGTTGAGTGGAACTACGAGCGCGACAAACTGTCCCTCTAACATTCGCGTTTTTTTTTTTGCTTCTGTTTACTGCTTTACACGAGTAGAAATTCCAGCCAGCGCGTCTAGTGCACATATCAGATGTGCGTGGCATCAACCAGCTCGTCCGCCTACTCAGTCTGTCGCAAATTTGTTCGGTACATTTCTACGGAACCTATAGCACTTTTTCTACCACGTGTCGCACACGGCAAAGTGTTACTTGGAGTTCCCAACCCGAAATCGGTGTTCCACTAACTCACTTCGTACAGCCTCAAGATTTCTGAACCATATCGCTCGAACGCCGACCGGCCGGTAGATTATCTTGGCGTGAAACAGCAAATCGACGAGGCTCGGCGTGTGCCTTCTGCCACACGTGCGTAGTCTCGCTGACCTGCCGTTTCACACCGCGATAAGCCGCTCAGCTGCCGGCTGGTCGGCGTTCCCGGGAAATTGTCGAAGAATCTGGAGGCCGTACTTCATGTGAAGGCTGCAGGGAGCGAAATGCGAGGTGACGCCTGAACGCGAAAAGTAGATTTCGTAT